TTCCTTTTTCATCTGCATATTCTTTCTGCAGGTCTTGGCTTTCAGCCATCGCATTGCGGAACGTGTCGTAGGACACTCAGTTTGGTAGACAAGAAGTCATCGACTTCTTTGCGGATGGTGGGGGGGCTGACATCAGCTAGCCGTTCGGCTATTCCTCCCCCACCAAGCCCCAACCCATGGGATGGTGGCGTCAGCGGGAGGCGAGGATAAACGAGCCCGCTCACGTAGAACGATGTGTAGCCGGTAGACGAATGGTGTGCATTGTTCAGAGCAAACTCTAAGAGTGGCAGCATGGCACTCCAGCGCCTCGGATACTCAGCGCAGACATTACGAAGAACGTCCTCGACGACGCTAATCACGCGCTCAGTTTGACCATCGGTCGGTGGATGGTCCCCTGATGACATATCCATCTTGGTGCCCAGCACCCTGAAGATTGTAGACCAAAACTTCCCAGTGAAGCGGGTCTCTATCCGAGCCAATTGACCCCGGGAGTCCATATTGTCGAAAGACACGATCGACAAACAGCGTTGCTGTACCCACACCGTTGATGGTGTCCGGCACCGCCGCAAGATGAGCCGTCTTGCTCAAACGGTCCACGAAGACCACGACACCCGTGTTGCCCGCCGAATTTTTCGGCAGGCCAAACACAAGTCCAAACTCATGGACTGCCAATACTCGGAGGGTACCGGTAAATTGGCCAGTGGCGCCGAAGCATCCGGAGAGGGTCTCACCATCTGACACGTCTCACACGTGCGCACGTATGTGCTCGTCCATTTGTACACCTTGGGCCACCAATTATAGCAACTCACCGAGCTGTACGTCTGCTCACGACCAAGATTACCACTGATTGGTGTGTCGTAGGCCTCAAAGAGGATATGGTACTTCAAATTCTCATCGCGAGGAACCACAATTCGTGGCGTATCCGTCGGGTCGGTGCTGTAATACAGCAATCCGTTATCTAACGAATATCGATGTAACCGTGCACTGAGTCGCGACGACAACCTCTTGTCCGAGTTTCCAAACTCCTTGCTCCCGAGAGCGCGTAACATCGCTACACACATACTATGATTCGCGTATGCGGCGCGGATCAAATCCGTCACTGACGACTTCATCGTCGTAACATAAGCAAGCTCACAATCCGGTCTGCGTGACAACGCATCAGCCAAAGCATTCTGCTTTCTTGGCTTATACTTCACCTCGAAGTTATATTCTGCGAAGAAGAAGAGCCAGATTTGAGGCGACTGAGTCGCAGTGCGTATTGACACATGATCTGTGTAGATCACAAACAGTTCGGAACCAAGCAGGTGAACCCTGGACTTGACAAGTGCATACTTCATCGCAAGTAATTCCTTGTCGTGACTTGGTAGTTCTTCTCCGCAGCCTTGAGCTGGCGAGATTCGAACACGATCACCCGATCACGTCCCTCGGTGTCTACTTGCAGCAGCGCACAGCCGATAGCAACATACGAAGCGTCACAGACGACACTGAAAGGACGATCGGGGTCTGGCAACGCCAGCATTGTTGCATGCAGAATGCTATCTTTGACCCCGACAAAAGCCTTCCGATGCTCGGTGTCCCAACAACATTCCGTATCCTTCTTAAGGAGAGTCGACAATGGCCGTGTCGATTCGGTGTAGCTCTCGCTATACTTGTGCAAGTAGTTGGCGACGTCAAGCCACTTATGCAGGTTCTTTTGGCTCATTGGAACCGGCCAGTCCACAATGGCCTTGACCTTAGCGAGATTCGCTCGAAGGCCACGCATCCCAGTGAAGCATCCGAAAAAAGGGCATTTCTTTGGCGTTGAAAATGCACTTGTCTGCATTAACATACAGCTTATTCGTGCGCATGCACTCGAGCACCGCTCTTAAATGGACAATTTTAGTCTCTTCGGCCGTTCTTCTTTGCTCCGCACGACAGTGGACGAAGATGTCGTCGAAGAATGTCTGTGCATACGCCCGGTGGGGCCTGAACAACTGCATCACAAGACGATTAAATTAGGCTGGAGCAATTGACATCCCTTGAGGCGTCACTTGCCACACCTAGAGCATACAGCTCGGAGTACTCACCGCTGTCAGCGGAATATCACTCGCTCTCATAAGGAATTGGTAATAACCATCGACCAAGTCGAGTGCGCTGCACTTTGTAAAGCCGACCATATTGTTATGGATAACGTCCTTTCTAGGAATCGGCGTCTGTGCCGGAATAATGGCAGCGTTGAGCTTATTATAAGCGGGAACGATACGCCACTTGCCGTTCGGCTTCCGGACACAAAACGTGGGTTCGAATGGGGAGACGTGCTCTCACGCACCATTCGTGCGTCGTACACCGCACGAAAAAAGGCGTCAACGACGTCACACTGCGGCCATTGGCGTGTCACGCAGACGCACACCTCAGACCGGAGGTAGGACCGACAGCGGGTCTTCGGAAACGACTTATTGAAATTCCTTTATTAAAGGATAGTACGGATCAGAGAGATTCTTGAGGATCGAAGATCCACTTCGTGCGCTCAGCACCTTCTTCGTGTCCTCCAGAACAGCTTTCTTCATAGGCGACGACGAGTTGATCTCCTTTTCCGGTCGTAGAATGACCACGTCCGCTAAGTCGCCTGCTACAAGGCACCGCCGAACTCTTCAAGGTGCATCTCGTCTAACTCAAGAAGACCATTAACCGCAGGAAATTATCTCAAGGATGACGTCACCGTCTTCCCCCCGTCATACCTTGGACGAGGGTGTATAACTGTAAGCTATAGTCTACGATAGACACATCCTGGGTCAGGGCCGACGCCCGAGGTCTTGTAGATGATATACGGCGTCTCTGTCGCCTCCTCACGGAGGTTGTACGTCTCGCAGAGACTCCGTGTGCACACGCACTCAGCGTCGTCTAGTGTCCCCACTTCTTGCTCCATCGGAGTCTTGATGTTATTAACAGCATTTGACGAAGAGCTGCTATTCCCGCAGCCTTCGTCCAGTGGATAACGTGCCACTCCACGCTCATCTGAAGGTCCTTGCCCAAGATGCTGAGGGCCACGTCCGACCATGCTACTCGTGGAATGCCGCGATTGCTTTGAAACGTATGCAGTGCTCAGTGGATTACGTGCCAACTTCGCGTGCATCACTGGGGCCTCGCCTTCGATGCCTCGAACCTCGTCAGACCATGCCACTTGTGGCATGCAGCGACTGCTTCGATACTTGATCAGCGCTCAGATAGCTATGTGCCACTACACGTTTAGCCCACGAGCCATGTTCAGGACTCTTGTCCGATACACCTTCGGTATTCACCAACTCGGACACTCAGATCGCCAGCACGTAGAACGTTGCGGGGTTTTGCCTTATAGTAGAAGTGGGTTCTTGACTCACCAAAGCTCCACCAGGAGACGTGCGCGTAACGCTCAAGGTCTTCGATCTCTAGTCGATCCATGGCTCATGGTGCTCCAGCCATGCCATACCAAGGATAAGGTCATACCTTGAATCCAAGTCGAAGACTAAGCAGCGTTCCACGCTATCAATGTCAAAAAAATTGACGCCGATGTCAGCAAGAACCCTACACAAGTCCCCGTCGCTTAGCGAACAGTGACGGTGTCACTCAATTGCGCTTCAAGCGCCTCAGCATACAGCTGACTTCCTTCGATCATGGAGCGTCGAGCATAATTGCCCGACGCCCCGGAATCGATAAGGATCTTCTACGTCTTCTCAAAGCCCTTCACGGCTGCGTTTACGACCAACAATCCCGGATTGCATACACGCTCCGTGTTCAAGAGCACGAGGCTCTTCGGGGCTGAACCCTGCTGACCTCTACCTCCTTGAGGCTCGACAGAACTCAATTCTTCCCCAGCAGGGCCGCCCCGCGCCTACTGGGTGTTGTCGTTTCGCCGCGACAAATCTGAAGAGCGGAACGTCTGTTCGATGAACCTTTATGTGCCTTGCGCGGGGGCAATCAATTCGAAGGTGACGGGTGTCTCCACGGACAAAACACCGTCGGGTGTTTGAACGCTGCTCGGCAGATTAAAGCTCTGCCTCTTCGTTCTCAGCATAGCTGAGATCCATCGGCTCAGACCCGCTAGACGAGCTGCTAGAGTGTGCATTCCAATGACTTAAAGCTGAATTCGGCATTCAATGCCGCATTCACTGCTTCTTCAAAAGAAGACGGGTGCACACGGAAGACCTCCATTTTGGCCACGCCAGAGCGGGGGCCTTCCATGAAGACGGCCACTGTCACCAGCCGGTAAGAGGATCGATTGCCATGCCGGCAATGATTGTTCTCAACTCTTGGACAAAGTCCACTAGCTTCTTTTTGCCCTGTCGGGCAGCAAGGAAACGCGATCTCACGCGGTATGTCTGGTTAGGCGGAGAGAACACTCGTAAAAGCTGCTGCTTCAGCTCCGTCCAGAAGGGAAACGCCGCTACAACAGAAGTACCGCACGTCAGTGTCCATTCTCACGCTCGACCGCTGAGCTTGGATATAGCTAGTGCCAATGACCGTGCTGATACGTCACAACATGGAGATTGGGGAAACTTTCGTAATGAAGAATTGGATGGCACTAATCCATCCAACCGATTGCTCATGGCGGATGTCATAGCCATCTCGGACCCTCTTATCAATAGCAGCAGATTTTCTCCATCTTTTTAACGCTCACCATGAGATGCCTAGGTCGGAAGGAATCATCCGTCGTCGACGGTGGCGTCCAAGACGCAATCGACGCTGACAGCTTCTGCTATTAGTGCTCTAACAGAGCATTCTCATAATCGGAAAACGCCTCTAGGTGCGCGTCTATAGCCTCGGGCTCTTGCACAACGAGGTGCTTCACGCCCTCAGGGCCCAGCAGGGACATCAGCTTAGGAAGCCCGTCCTGCATGCTCTGGGGCAAATAGGTAGATTCCTCCATCCTCACAGAGGATCAGTCGTAACGACTCAGGCATAGATTGACTACAAGTGCTACCAAGTGTAGCGGGGCTGCCGTAACTCTTTGCTTAGAGAAAGCTAAGCTAAGGTCACCGACCTTACGTTCTTACCAAGAACCAGTATCGCAATCCGCAGCCTCCAAGATTACTTAGAACCCTAGCCAAGGTAAGGGGACTTTTCCGTTCAAAATTGAAACTGTGTTTAATTGTTTTAATTGCGACAAAGCCGACAATATTTGAATCCCTAGGTTTTCCTAATTAATATAGTATAACCTAATTAACATAGCAAAATCTGATTAATATGCATTAAAACTGGCAAATCCTGCCACTTAGTGGCTTCTTGTTACGGTGCAGCCACGCCATTGTGTGATTACACCGCTTGTGTTATCTACCCATACGGTCACACCATCTTGTGTGACCCGCCCTTTCATACAAGCGTACGTGTAACTCCGTTACACTCTGGGTACATGTAACCCCGTTACATCTTTGCCAAAGGCTGTACATTACTCCAAGCAGATGTCAATGGACATGAACATGAACCAT